CAGGTGAGAGCGGGGCGGGGGGGGAGGGTGGTGTGTGAAATCTTTTCGCTACTGCTGCGGGGCGCGCAAGTCGCGGGCAACGCCCGGCCGAGGGCCGTGATGCCGACAAAGCTATGCGGCAGTGACCCGTAAGAACGGGAAACCAGTGCAAAGCCTTGACGTGAAAGATTGGTATTTGCGGAGGGAAAACTTTCCTTTTTAATTTTTGGAAGTGTAAAGGCTGATGCCTTAGGTTTTGTATAAGCTTTTATACAGGCTTATCGTCTGGTTTGGAACCTTTCCTACCCTTTCTTGTGCCGCCTGAGGGTGCTCCAGGCCACGTGTGTACTGTGACTGCGCTTTGCTGCGTGTGCCACTCTGGATCCCCTTCTCTTAGGGTGTCTGCAGCTCTAAACTCTATTGTCACAATAAGCAGAGTTACATTAACCAGCATACAAACACCTTTTAGTGGCTACAGCCAGACAATATAGCTGTTTACACCAGAATATCTAAGGTAATTACAGTGCTGTATGACAATGTGGAGACAGATGGACAGTCTACATCTTGGGGTATGCATGCTGTTAGTGGTTGAACATTGCTGGTCCGAGTGCTGGGCTCATGTGATGACTTTCAGTTCTAGCTTTGCATACATAGCTTAATATCTGTCTCTTCCCTGTGCCCTGTGAAGAGGCACAGAATGAGAGCATAGTCTTGACAAATCACACTTTAAAATGAGCTCTCTACTTAAAGCAACTAAAATGTCAGGTATCTAACAAATATGTTGCCTGTCAAGGCCTGATAAGAGTTTTGCAGTGTGACTTTGTGTAGCTAATGAAAAAGACTTCTAGATCGTGACAGCGCAGGTATGTTTCTTTCCAGTAATAGCTTACTCGCAGGTCAGTGTTTGTTCAAACTGTGATAATATTTCAGGCCAAGTTTCTCCTGGTTTTCATACAGTTGCCTGACAAACATAAAAACTGTAGACTAGAAGAAACAAAGTAAACATTGCTGCTTAGCTCATGTGTAGCTTTACCTGATTTGCATCTTGCTGATGTTTGTCTAGCTTCATGAAGTTCTGTATCTGCCTTTTACAGGCTAGATAGGAAGGCTGAGCTGTTAAGCATTTTGACACTGAAGTGCTGATATGTTCTGGGTTTTATGCTGAGGAGAACAAAAATGTTATGACTGCTTAATAGGCAACACTCTTCCTCAGCAAAAGGGCTTTGAACCAGCCATGGTCTGTCCATTGTTTTAATGAATAGTGCGTGTTTTCCATTAGTATTTAAAAAGACAATGTATATGCATTGCTGTAGCATAAACATGGGAATGTAGTATTAGAAGACCATTGAATCATTGTGTCCAAAGCTTCAAAACTGTAGGAGGCCATGTGGTAGGTGTCTAAGTGCCAGAACACTTGCTGCCATAGTCTGTGAGTAATTGCCCAATGAGTTATTTTAAACTTAATCCGTAACAAAAGCTGCCAAGTCATATCTGCAATATCCCAGGAAAAGCAATGCCGAATGTCCCAAAACCAGGACAGAGAGTAAAGTGCAGACAAAATATACCAGCATTTTTAAATAAAATGCAGTTTTTATAGGTTATTTTGAAATGTACCTGTCTACTATCAACACTGAATCAATTTACCCTCATTTTCTATAGCAAGTTTTCACTACCCAGATTCTGAGATGCACAAAAATAATTGAATTATGGATTAATAAATGAATTACTGATCTGTAAAATGACAGAAAAAAGTGACTAAACAGCAATACTTGTACTCTGCTGAGGTCTTCTAATTTTCCAATGTCCCCTTAACAGCTAAAATTATCTATTAGTCTTTGGAATGTTTCTGAACTCTGTCTTGTATTATAGAGGTAATGTAGCTTAATACCAACTATTTAACAGGTCTTGCAGAGATAACCATGAAGTTGGGGTTACTCTTGCAATGAGCCTTTGTTCTAAATGGACACCATCATGGGATGATGAAGTGGATGTGGAACAATATGATTGCTTTTTTTAAAATTGTATCTTCCGTGTCAGATGTGGGTTTTAGCAAGGCTGTGGTATATGTGTAAGGCTTTTCCCTGGTAAACAGTTGCTTTTCATTGAAAGAATGACTGTTCTCATTTCATCATGATGTGAACCCCTCTACAGACCTTCTCCACAGCTATCAGAAACTTGCTGTGTAAATTATGAGTATGATGAAGAAAGCTTTCTCATCAAAGAAATTGTAGCTATTACTCTCAAATTGACGTGTCTTTTAAGGGACTCCAGAAGCTCTACATTATGTGATCAGAGAACAAAAAATAGTTCTATTTTATCTTGCAGGATGGAACTGACTTTGGATGAGAAATTTTTCAGACCATCCTATATTGCTAGTGTTGAGCCACCTCAAAAACCAGGACCAGTAAATGTGGAAGATATTAAAGCAGATCTATCTGCTGAATTTTCTTTGGCTTCTTCAAGCTCAGACACAAGCCAGGTAAGAAAGCTTTAATGTTTGCATTGTTTGGGTATTTTTTTTTTTTAGATAAGCTTAGTCCTTTTATCGATAAGAATAATCAGAATATTACAGAGAAGATAAGAGGCATCTTTAGTATGTTTTTAATGTGGAGGAGATATGTAGGATTAGATTAAGTTGTGTGGCACTGCATTGATTCCTTATTGGGTGCATCAGTCTCCTGTGAATGAGGCTAATTGCTAGTTCAGATCAGATTAATCGTAGAATGTTTTTGTGGGTTTCATTCTTAATCTCTAGTTGGCTTGAATATAGTGTATATATATGTGCTGCAAGATTATTAACTCTAAGTTATCACAGCAAACTTCTGCAGGGGCCTAAGCACTTGTAAAAACTGATGTCGTGAATTACTTTTGCTTCCCATGCAATCAAATAAGTCTGTTCAAAAGAGCCTGATGAAAATGAAACTGCCTTAACATCCTAGCTATCAAAAAGAGTCTAGTAAAATTTCTAACTTCCTTAATCTTTTTTTTTTTTTTTAAATTTAAGAGGAGCAGTTTGGAGTCTAAAGGACACATAGAAGTTTGTCTGCGTATTAGGCCATTTACATCGTTGGAAAGAGAATATGAATTGCAGGTGTGTCATTAATTTAAAAATACTTTAAATGTTTGGGGTTTTTTTTTCCTATAAGCTGAGATCTTTATACTCTTTTCATGCCTGTATTGCTTGTGCTTACTTTTAATAGGACTGCGTTTCACTTGAAGACTCAACAAGCATCATACTGAAGCCCCCCAAAAACTCTTTGAGTCGATTAAGTGAAAAAACTGGTGGACAGATGATACAGAAGTTTACTTTTTCACGAGTAAATGAATTGTCTTTAAAAGTTTTTTTTTTTTTAGTTTATTCCTGGAAAAAGTTGTTTATATTATTTAATACCAAGCAAACCAGATTTTATAACTGTCAATAGTCTTTAAGATTATAAACATATAGAATTTAAAAGATTCTTTAAAAGTCTCTAATGATTGCTTAAACAAAATAACAATTTTTTTTGGTAATGCTCAGGTGTTTGGACCTGAAACAACTCAAGAAGAATTCTTTGAAGGTACCATGAAGCAACCAGTGCAAGATTTCTTAGATGGATATAATCGTCTTATTTTTACATATGGTGTTACAAATGCTGGGAAAACCTACACGTTCCAAGGTATAAGTAGAAATGTGTTCTCCTTGAATGAGCTTCCTTTTTTTTTAAAGTGAGAATTGCTTCTAGCAGAAATATTATAACTTTTTCCTTTATTTAAACTGTAGGCCCTATACATTGGCTTCTCTTGAATGTTAATAAATAGCCTTTGAAAGTGTCCTTCCATAACAAGCATCACTAAACTGACAACAGACAGTCACTGCCAGAGTTGACATAAATATATAGTGGTATTGCCTTGTAAGGCTGCAATAATTTCAGCCTTTTGTGTGACTCTTCCTCCTCTTCCCTGACATTCTAGATACTTGGAGGGGGAGTTAGGAAAATACATCTTACATACTTTTCACATCCTGATATATATAAGTCACTCTACACCGGACTAGCATTTCGTTATTTTTTTATTATTATTATAAAGGTCATCTGCATTTTATATGCACTGTCTTCAAACAAGGAATAATACTTGAGTCTGTTTCAATTATTATAGGCAGAGAATAAACATTTTGAAACATGTTTGATTATTTCCAAGTAGTTCTGTCTTGACTCAAGTTTCTGAGCTTATCAATAATATGCTAGGACACCTTGTCTCCTGATGTACTGTTAAAGGTCAATATCCTTTCTGGTCAGAAGATGTCATTCTTTAATTATTTTTCAAAACATTTTAACAACTGCAGTGATTTGATTCACATGGAAACAATTTCTCCTAATGAAATGGCAGTTCTAGATGCTATGCTACTTATTTTATACACAGAAGTAGAAGGAGGACAATGAATTTTGTGCCATATGAAATTGATCTTTGTTGAAGTCACATTGTACTCTAACTGGTCTTCTGTTAGGATTGTAACTGAAGACTACTGCCAGTACTATCAGTTAGCATTAGTCTGGGGCGATAATGGGATGCTCTTTCCTGTCCTAATAAATAATAGGTAAATAACAAACCCCAGATTCCTAATGTGTACAATCCCCTATGCTTGGCTAGTTTGGGGTCTATCGTGTTGTGTGGTTTTTCAAGAATTTTTTGATTCGTGTCTTTTCAGACTCTGGAGACTTTTTCATAGTATTACATTTTTAGGACTTCACTATCAACTTGTAATACGAATTGGCAGGGCAGAATGTTGCCTACTGGGTGCCCTGATTTCTTCTTCTGTTATTCCCAGTATTGTCGATATAGCTTTTCCACTTTGGCATTACATGGAAGCCTGTATTCTGTCAATGGCAAAGGACTTAAGTGAAGAATGAAGCAGTTTTTTAGGACTGTTCATTGTTTGCCAGTGACTGTTAGTTTGTTCATGTTAAGTTGAATTACAAGTGGCATTACAATAAACAAAAAATTATTAGACAAGAGAGGAGATGAGGAGAAACAAATATAATGCAACAGTACTGTAACTTAACGTGTTATCTGGCTACTAGCTTGGTGTTTGAGTGCCAACCAGATTTTATGTAGGATCTGCCTTAGGCAACACAGCTAGTGCTGTAACTGATAAAAGCCAATCTGTCTTGGGAATAGGTGAAGTTATCAGAGGCTGGAAGATTACGCTCTCAGAGTCTGAGACAGGACAGTAGTTTCTCTTCCACTCTCCCCTCCCTCCCCTTCTTCTCTCTGGTTTAAAAATCAAAGTAAAGTAAACACTACTTAAACTTGCATCTGGATTTAGAAAGATCAAGTATGCATTGAGGCTTTTATTTGACTCCTTTTTGCCTTTCAGGTGCAAAAGTAGTATGCTCTGAGAAAAAGGTCTGGGACAGGAAAGGAGCGAGTCTGTCTTCACAAGGTGTCTAAACCTTTTTTGTAGGGTCTCTGGAATTAGTACAGGACTGCAGCTGAGATCAGTCATCAGTTGCATTTCAAGATTACCTCCTTGAGAGAGACAGATAGTGAAGGCAGCCTATGAATGCGATTGAAAAACTGCAAATTTCTATTAAATGTCTGTTGGCTGTGGTTGGTTTGGTTTCTTTTCTTTAAGGCTAAGCTTGTGCAGAATACCCCCGCAGTTTTTTATTTTATACGCCTTACCGTCTAAGGGGTAGAGAGAGCATGAGCTGTTGTTGAAAACCAAATACCTTTCAAAACACTCTGACACTTCTGTTACACTGAGAATACAAAAAAAACCCACTGCTTCATGCTGTAAGTGGCCTCCAAATTCCTCATGTGTGCCTTGAGATTAGAATTGCTTATCTTTCTGTCTTCATTTACATGTATACCTTGTTCACAGTAATAATTGAGGTCTTTCTTTTGTATGTTGCTTACAGGGACAGAAGATGATGTTGGTATTCTGCCAAGGACTATGGATATGTTGTTTAAAAGTATTCAAGGAAAGCTATATACAGCAATGGATCTCAAACCCCATCGGTGTAGAGATTATATAAAGCTGACTAAAGACCAAGTGAGAGAAGAAACTGCCATTAAAAATTCAATACTTCGCTTAACAAAAGAGGTAGAGGAGCACCTCTTTCTATACTGATGAGTACACACATCTTGAGATCGCTCACTGTTACTCTGCTCATTTTTCAATGGGAAGAGATTATCTGTATTTAAGCATGGATGTGTCTGCTGTCAGCCAGCTATTCACATTAGCAGTAAAGTGAGCAATAGAGCTGATGAACCCTTTTCTCCTGTGGATTTCTGCTTTGTGGCTGAATACTTAATAGGATGTAAACTCTATGAATTGGTTTTTTTTTTTTCTATAGCTTGAGCACCTGATAATTTTATCCTCTGAGGTTACTGATGTTTAATAAGGACTGAATGCAAATAGTCCCTCCATCTGTGGGGATGCTAGTAGGTCTGCTCCTTTAAACAATTTACTGTCTTTTGGGATACTTGAAAGAAATTATGATTTTGAGATTGTTCCCATCTTCCAGTTTGGCAAATATCCTCAAAGGAACCAAAATCTCTTTTGAAACAGAAGAGCTATAAAGCCAGTGGACTTCTAAAGATTTGAATTCAAATGGGTTTCTGTTGGACTTTATTCTTAAACAGATCACTGAGCAGTCTAGCAATGCGTTTCAGTTTTATGAGTTGCCTGGAATTCTAAAGCTATTTAATCCCTTTATAGTTATGGGGGATTTGTAATTTTTATAAACGTACCTTTTTCTTGCTGTTTTTAATTCTGAAATGAATGGAATAATATAAAAAAAACCTAAGCATATGCTAGAATTGGAACTAGAAAGGGATTGTTGTGCATTTTTTTTATTTTTAATGAAAAGAATTAAGCATCTCCCTAGTGGTGTATGCTAGGTTATAATGGAGTGTTGTGGCCATTGTGGGATGGAATCTATCTGTTACCTTGATTTTTATCCTGAGTCAGTTAACTGGAATTCTCCAGCGTGGAAGGCAGGTGGCAGCAAAATTCAAGTCTTCACTTCAAAAGCACAGGTGTATGTTAAATCTAGCTCTAGCAGTCTTTAAGGATTTTGGAAAAACCTGTCACACGTGTGTCTGAATAGACATATATGTCCCTGCTAGTTTCTAAAACTGTGGTTATAAGAGCAGTACTTCAGCTTATAAATTTGGTGGCAGTTTGCATCTGCTTCAACAGAGACAGGTTTGTGTGGGTGTTTTGCATGTGTAAAGCTTAAACCTGAAAGTCTTGATTACATAAATATTTAGCCATTTTGGGAATCACTTTATGGCATCCCAGCTTTACATGAAATATACTCTTGGCAAAACACTAAAAAACCCAACACAAACCACACCTGTGTTTTTAATCCATGTTTCTTCTTTTAAGCATACTCGTTTTGGTAGATGAGTTGCAGTTATGTGCCTAAAAGAACTAACCAAACAGAACTAAGATTGGGAACAGAGTGTATGTGTATGAAACTTATGAGCTCTAGCTGTAGGGATTTGGTTTACTTTTTTTTTTAAAAAAAAGCAGCTCAGCAGGAGATGATTTTCCTTCTCTTTCTAAAACCCAGATTTTATTTCAACTGTGAAAGGTTTCTACAGCCTGTATCATGAAGCAATAAGTTGCTTGCTTAATTTCTTAAGTGAACCAGTGTTCTACATTTGCCTCTGTTTCTGAGGGTTGACCTAGCAAGCCATAAGATACGGAATTGTGAATTAGCAAAATAACAATAATAAAAAAAAATTAGGATTCTAGATTCACCAGGTTAGGAGTAATGTGTAAACTGCAGCTGGGGTCCTGCAAATCATCCTGTTAAATCACCCTGTTTCTGTGTGAGCTGCCACCTCTCTATTTTTCTGTGGCTAGTTTTGTTCTGGTTCAGCAAGCAGAAATGCTGTATGCTGTGATAGGGCCTGATGTAAGGGAAGTGTCAGGAATGAGTATTCAGGTAAGAACACCCTTTTCAATAGGAGTGTACAGGTGCATTGAACTTGGCATGATGTGTAGCCAGGACCTTTGTATTGGCTTATTGCAACTACACTGTATTCCTGTCTAGTAGGACAATAGAGCTGTGACAAAAGTAACTGGTAGTGTACTGGTGATATGCTGTCAACAATACATCTTAAAGTCTCTGTTCTCTTTTGTAGGTAGACCATCAAAATAGTACTAACAACAAAGCACCAGTTGATTCTAAGGGTATGTTTTATATTAAAGAATTACAAATAAAGCTGGCAAAGAAGCTTTCTTAAGATCGATAACTGACTTTTGGCCTATGTTAATAATAAAATGGCTACTTGGCATTTCTATGTGCCTGTGAATTGGATAGTAAGCAAGTTATCTGGCAGAAAACACAAGGATAAAATGGTTAGAAGAACACCTGAATGACCATTAAATGAGATGAAACTATAGCAAGGAAAAGTAGTACTAACTATGCTATGGGCCTTAGTGGTATCCTGACAGGCTTTTAGAGTACCTGTATGTAATTACATAAACCTAATTCTAGCATTTAAAAACTACCTAAATACTAGGCTTGCTTTAAGAAGTCAGAATGAAGTGTACTTGTCAGTTTAATTCTGTCTTCTAAAGATATTGAAGAGACTTGAATAATTCTAACCAAGCTGTATGTGTTTGATAGAATTTGCAAGTGGGAAAGGAAGTGGTAGAGTAGGTGTATCTTGCAAATATGTAGGGTAAGCATGTGACTTCCAGATACTTAAGGAAGGTGGGGGGAAATCTCAATGGATTTTTGTCTGGGGTAAGTGTGTTTTAGAAGGCTGCTGTAATATCGATTTTCACTTATTTCTTAAATTAAATTCACTTTACTAGGCCTATATTAACTTGTAATATTCTGTACTTGGCAGATTTAGAAGAACTCTTAAAAGACTCGGAACAATCTGGCACAACTGTAAAAGATTACATGAAGTTTTCTGTTTGGGTTTCATTTTTCGAGATTTACAATGAATGTTTTTATGATCTACTGATTCCTATATCAAATGACAAGAAAAGAAAAACACTACGCCTTGCTCAAGACATCAAGGGATGTTCTTATGTAAAAGGTGATTAGAATACATTGCAGATCACCAAACATGTAATTTGAAAAGTCAGTCTTCCTGTAATGTTTCTTTCTAGATCAGAAAACTCCTAAATGTATTCACTGTGGCACTAGAAATGTCTATCTTGAGTATGAAAGGTAACAATCTACATACATAGAAGTATCTATACCTTTAATAGTGTTTTTCTCTTTATTCTTGACTGTACCTCTTAAAAACCTGCATGCACTCCACTGCCTTGATATTTCTTTAAAATGGGAGAAATATTGAAAACTACTGACAAATTTTAGTGGTTTGGGGTTTTTTTTTCCATTTTCTTAAAAAAAGACTCCAAAAGTTCTTAACCATAGTTATAATTGACTGAGCAGGTCTGGGGTTTTTTTTTTTTAGTATTTTCTGTAGAGAAACAGACTTCAGAGAATATGTGAGAAAGTTCAGTCTGACTACAAAATACTTTTTACAGTACTCTAGTTTAGCCAAACCTGTAATGTAATTTGTTTGGGGTTGAGGGGGGAAGGGAGTTAACAGAACTGAAAATAACAGTTCAATGTTTGTTTCTGGACATAGGAAAAAATATGGTTTTAAACCTGTTTGATTTGTTACAGGTTCTTTGGACAATCAAGATACCAATTCTAGATTAAAGGCTTTTTTTGTAGGTGTTTGGCCTGCTGCTTTTATCTTTTTAGATGCCAAACTATAGATTCAAAAAGCTGAATTGGACAATAAACCCAATTCCTTCATTTCTTCAAAGACTAGAAAATGTGTGAAGTAGGAAATAGTCTGCTTTGAGCTGTGTTTGTGTAATCTTTTTTTATAAAGCTTGGAAGTGTAAGGCTGATGTTATTGAGGAGAACCAGTTAATGACTTTCTTGTTGGTCACAGCTGGTATTTTTGCTAGTACTATTTTGGTAACCTCTAGTTTAACAGAGGCCATAATGTTCATATTAGAACTTCTATTAGTAGGGTGGTAGGCATTTAATGTAGCACCTACCAAGATGACATACAGTCATCATATTGCAGACAAAATTCTTCACTGATGCTTTTCAGTTAAGTTGATGGCCCTGAAAGATATCCAGATGACTTTTTTCTCAAAATTTTAGGCTAAAATAGAGAAGCTGTCCAGATAGAATTCTGCTTTGATAAATATGAACATAGGGTTTTCATACTCATATTAGACTGTACCTTTTGGCTTTTCAGTGCTCAGGCTAAGGTTGCGGACTTAATTTGGATGGAACATATTTTAATGTGCTAATAGGATGAAATGATGCAATATACTTGTCCTTCCTTTCCCATGGGAGGAGGAATCTTGATTTGTCATCATATAATTTCTGCCTGAAGCAGGCTTATAAAATGTTTGTATGTCTGAAGTAAATGTAATATTCTTGGTGTGCGTACTTTATCCCCTAATCCTGTCTTTCTTTTTGATAATGATATTTATGAGATAATCGTTGCTTGTTCTTCCTAAAGATCTGCAGTGGGTTCCGATTTCTGATTCTAAAGAAGCTTTTAGACTTCTAAAACTGGGGTTGAAACATCAGAGTATTGCAAGCACGAAACTAAATACTTGCTCCAGCAGAAGGTGAGGAATGTTTTTGGAGTAACGTTGGGCATAGGATGGTGTGTGGGAGGAAGGAGGAACTGAAATATGGCTTGTAGCTTTTAGGAGGGGAAGAAGCTTTACCAAGGTCTAGATATCTAGGTTTCAGTTTTGGTGTCCTTTAGCAGTATGTGACCCAACGCTTTAAGCCAACAGGATTCAGTCCTTCAGTAAAATGAACGTACAAAAGCTATCCTTCAAGCAAAAGCACTTTGCTTTGTTCTATCTAAATGTCTGAGGAAAAAGCAAAATAAGTGCGATGTAAATATCTCTTTAAATGTTTGTATCTGATAGCGTATATGCTTAGATATGTTGACAGATTCAACAATGCTTTGAACAGATGTTGTGGAGGCTAAAAATATTTTTAAGGTATTGGTCTACTTTATCACTTCTCTGCTGACTTAAACTTCTCCTTTTAGTCACAGCATATTCACAGTTAAGGTACTAAAAATTGAAGATTCAGGAGCACCACGAGTGACCCGAGTCAATGAGTAAGTTCAGGACAGAGACCCCCCCTTCTTTTGTGATGAAATTGTCAATTATCTTCCATGTTGATGTACTGGTACTGCACTATACACCCAGTGCTCCCTGGTAGAGCCTCAGACATGTATGGTGGTTTCCCTACTTCTTACACTCATACAGTACTTGGCCCTCTACCTCAAGCCATCAGATTGCAATGCTGTTCTATATCTTGTCCCCTCTGTTCAGCACAAGGTTCTGCTAGCCTGCTGTACTCCTGAACTCATGTAAGTCCTCAGAAGGAAGAGGATGGAGGCAGGGCAAAATAGGAAGTGTGTTGGGAAAGGGTTTGGCAAGATGTAGTGTGAAATCTGATCGGGGAAGCAATGTTGAAAAGGATGGAAGAGTTTGTGCAGATGAAGATCAAGAAATTCTTCCTCTAAGAAAAGTGATCGGTTTTAAATGTGAATAACTTGTGCATGTTCTAAGGTAAATAAAGTTAACTTTCCTTTTCTGCTTTCAGATTGTCAATGTGTGATCTTGCTGGTTCAGAAAGATGTACCAAGACCCACAATGAAGGTGATAGATTGAAAGAGAGTGGAAATATAAACACCTCTCTCCTGATTCTAGGCAAGTGTATTAATGCACTCAAGAACTGTCAACAGTCAAAGTAAGTCCTCTTACAAATTGCAAATTGGTTGTGTGTTTTAGGTATTGCCTACAACGTGTAAAAGCTATTGTTTAAAATATACAATGCTAACACTAAGTTTTTGGTAGAAAAGATGTATAGAGTTGTGAAGTCTACTGTGAAGTCTTGTTGATCTACCAAAGTTATCTTTAAATTTGCCTTGTTTTGCTCTTTAATTAAATCATGCAAATTCTAACATCCTGTAAACATGCTATCATAGATTTTAGCAATTTGACTTTTTTCTTCTGAGCTTGGCTTACCAAACAAACTTTAGAATAAGTTTAAAACCCCCTTTTCACCAGTGTCATAGTAATAGTCAAATTTATAGCCTTTTATTATTCCTTTTTGAACTAACTCCATTTTCTACATGCTTCTAGTGTAACATTTTTCAGCAGCAGGATATTGCTGTGCTATCATAACTGTGCACTCTTTGACAATTTGTCCGTTTTATCTAAATCTTGATATAACTTTAACACTCTCCTCATGGTCTAGCTGACCATATGCAGATAAAAGAAGGCCTTCCCCCTATTTATGCCCTAGCTCAGGGATCTAAATAAGAGTAAAATAATACAAAAATCTTCTGTCTAAAAAACAGTACAACATCTAGTCACAGCTGGATGTAACTGTCCAGAAACTGCTTTCTCCACAGGTTCTCATTTGAAGATCTATTTCTATCCCAGAAGTTAAATGAACTCTCAGTCTGCTGATTGATGTGCCTGGATGTACTTTGCCAAATTCACTTACCCCATAACACTGTTCCTGATAGCCTATTCAAAGTCTGTCACACCTTAAGATGAAAAAGCTTTGCTAGCATGTGTTCCTGATTAACCCTACATTTTGTGAATTTACAGTCTCTCTTATTTTCTTGTTCTTTCCAGGTAGGAAGGATGCATTAAATCTAGCAGCTGCTTAGAGGGCTGTTAATGTATTCAGAATATCTTTTTCTGATTCTAATAAGTTGGAATTTTAACAATATAGAAGAAATGTTCTGCAGCATGATCTCCTAAAGTGTTAATAGATGGCCCTGGGAAGTTACTGCTTCCTATTCAGCTTGCTTAAAATGATTCTTGTTTATCAGTCCTGCAGCAAAGCTACTTAAGAGCTGTATATGTATTCTGGTAGGAGTGTCACTATCTTGCTGAGTTCTGTAGCACTATTCATGTAACTGAATAGCTGTCATGTGTCCAAAATGCACGCAACCTATTCAGTGGCAAGTGTGTGTTTAGTCATGTTTTAAGAATTCTCATAAAATTTCCTATAAGCATCAAAAACTACATCACCAGCTGTTAAATTCAAGGGCACAACTTCTGACTTAGGAAATGCCAAACTGCTGTGGGATTAGGGAAAAAGTTCTGAAAAGTATCTCCACGTGTTTGGCGTATAGTTATTTTCTTGCCTAGGTTCTTGCTATTGTCCATTCTCAGAGGCAGGATACTGAGTGAGAGAGATCTCTGATAATGTTGGCTACTGCATGCCTAGAACTAGATACGTCCTTTTCATGAATGTGGAAAGGAAAAGAGAGAGGTGGGGTATAGTTTGATGTAGCATGAGGCTATGTGACCTACCGTAGGCTAAATGTTGAACACACTTTTGGTTTAAGTGGTCCCATTGATTGTATTGCTATAGCCTATCTGAGACAACAGCTAAAGCAGCAGTCACAACAGCTGTGCAGTCTCTTGGCAAACAGCTGTATCTAGTCCGAAACAATCTTAACTGATTTAAAGGCTACTGCTTTTATAAATATTTTTAAGTCTTCAGGCTGGATAGCTCTTACACTGACTGGAAATTATTAAACTTCTGGTCTTTTGTCTTTAAAGGTTGCAGCAGCACATACCCTTTCGGGAAAGTAAGTTAACTCATTTTCTTCAAGGATTCTTCAGTGGAAAGGGGAAGGTATACATGATAGTAAACATAAGCCAATGTGCTTCAGCATATGATGAAACGCTCAATGTGCTAAAGTTCTCAGCCATTGCACAAAAAGTAAGTGTGTTGTAGTTTATCTTGTTGGTCAGTTCTTACGATTTGCATTTAAAGAGCAGGTTTGCTCACTTCTAAGAATATGAATTTAGTTTCTGGATTTTTCTGTTTCATGTTGCAATCATATTTTCTAACTGCTCCCAGTCACGCTTTATTTCCTTGTAAAGCTTTTAAAAAGGCATTGTTGGGACTTTGTTTTTTCCTTTGGAGTGTCGGTGTGGGAGCACCTCCTACTGAAAATCCATAATTCCTATAAAATGTCCACCCTAACCAGGCACTTCCTATATTTGGAAGAAATACCCTGAGATCGAGGTAAACTTTTCTCCTGTACTCGTAACATGCTCTCACCTAGGAGCAATTCTAGCTGTCACACATACTACTGCTATCTTAATCTGGAATATTGCTCGCCTGAAATATTGATAAAAGAGGTTGAGCACCAAAGAGAGCTTGAAAGGTTGCCTTTATGTCCATAGAGGCTTCAGTAGGAAGGTAGAGGTTAAGCAGAATGAGCGGGAGTAAGTGCAGTGATACAACGCTGGTGAAGTTGAAAGATGAAAGTATTGGGGATCAGTGCTGAAGCCTTAATGAAAGTCATGGAAACCTTCTGTTGACAGTTCGGTATGTTCAAAGGACAGTAGATCCAGGCCTTTTGAATGTTGGCTTATCTAAGCAGGTTAAGTGCAACACTAGAAGGAGCAGACTGTAAGGGTGATACAGCTGTTCAAGAAATAGAATTTGTAGGATGACATTCGTGCAATGCAACTAGAAACTAAAAGTATAGGAAATACAGAAATCTGTTGGTGCATGAGGTGGCAACCCTCTTGTAGGTTGTTGAGCCAGTGAAACTTGATGTTCCTGGGATCAAAAGAAAGGTTAGACTATAAAGTGACTCCTTTGTACTCTAGCTGGAAACTGGTCTAAGTAGTGACTCTGAACAGAGGATAGGCTGGGTAAGTGCTGTGCTCAGGAGACCTATAGGAAAGCGCAACAGGTATTTCTTAGAAGTGTCAGTAGAGGTTTAAAAAATACTGATGACTTTGTTCTTTATTTTCTGGGTAGGTTTTAGTTATGGATGCGTCTATTCTTCCTCAAGATCAGTCATTTGGCCAGAAATCAGCAAGAGAATCTTCACTACTTAGTGACACTAAAATGCCAATCCCAAGGAAAAGAGCTACTATCCTATGGGACAGGAGCTTAGAAGATGTGATTGAAGATGATGATGATGATGAGATGGAGGAACAGCATAGTATGTCAAGAGAAGAAGCAGTGCAGAAACAGGAAGAAAATAAAGTTCTTATTGGAAAAGAAGAATATATGGTATGTGCCATGGCTACTTTCAGAATTAGTGTAGCATGGAGTCTTGAAGCAAGGTATTCTTTTCCTGGTTTCCCCCATCTCACCTATTTTTTTTTTCTGATCACCCTTATCTACCCAAATCCAGCATTAAGAACTGAAAGTGGGATTGCTCATGACTTAGTGCCTTTTGTGGGGTAAACACTGAAATCTGTCTAAATACAGACTGAGCAGTAAGAATTGCAAATTTGGCTTTCTCTCCTTTTGGTAACCTATGACCAATGCACAGCAAGTATTATCTGGTTTCTAGCAATACAGAAGACCCTTCCTTTGTGTTCTATGCACAGGAAAACTCTGAAAATTGTTCTTAAGGAACAGCAATTTTAGTCACTTCTAGGAAAGATGAGGAGGAGGGAACAGGGGACTAGAGACTGTATTGTGGAGGTTTCATTAACATTGGCCCAAAAATGAGCATTGGGAAAACAAGAGCTAAATGCTCTGGAGCATAAGCCTGTTTATTAAGACAACTTCAAGAATTCTTGTGACAAACTTAGTGTTCTTTGCAAATGCCTCCTCTGTGCAAACTTGTAAATTGCTGTGCTAGTACCAAACAGATATTTCAATCTACTCATGAATCCTCCTGTTTATGAATAAGCTAATAAAAGAACTGGAAGAACTTTTGCCAGCTGGAAGAGTAAAATTGTTGTAGTGTTTGAGGAATGGGAAAAATCTCAGTTCTGGGAAACTGTTTCTTTATGAAAAACTTAATACTAATGGTAATTTTAGATGCTGCTGAGTCTCATAGAAGACTTGAAGAACAAACTTATTACTGAAAAGAAGAATAAGTTACTGCTGGAACTAAAAATTCGTGAAGAAGTGACACAAGAATTTGCCCAATATTTTGCTGAGCGGGAAATAGATTTCAAGTAAGTTAGCTGTAAGTGGTTGTAAAGTTACTGGTTTAAAAAAAAAAAAAGCAAGTAAACTAACTTATTTCTTTAACCTGTCTCTTGGCCATAAGAGACCACACTCTTCTGTTAGACTTACTGCCTCTGTTAATATATCAACCTCTGTTTGGATATGAGTTCAGGAAAAATACTGTGTAGGAAAGGCTTTGATTTTTGGGGGGAGGGGGTGTGTGGAATCTGTAAGCAGTGTTTGTTCCTGTAGAGCTCTCCCTAAGAGAAGAACTTTGTTGATAGGATGCCTGTAGAAAGAGTGACATGTGCAAATTCTTTGGTTACTGCAGTCTTAGTGATATTCCAAACAGGTGTTCTGGCTCAAGTTTAGAAAAAAATTACTGTAGTTAAGTACTATCCGTAATCTCTGTGTGTGTATCATCTCCCCCTCATTCTTCAGGGTTGTGTGTGGGAGAAATATGCTTCCAGTTTGGTGTATCAACATTTTGTGTATTGTTCTCTTGTGCCAAAATAAACAAACAAGCATCTTTGTTTATAGGCAGCTGTACTAATAACTTCTTTGCAGGTCATACTGGCTAGCTTTTAGCTGACTTATTTTTTCCTATTGTAGAGAGTGCCTTTCTCATGAACGAGAACGGCTTGAAGAAAATTCTGAAAGACGCCTGGAAATCTTCAAGGAACTTGTAAATGGCTATACTAAAAACGCAGAAGAAGAAAATAAATTAAAGGATCGGCCTTGTAGAGAACAAGCTGGACCTCTGGTATTTTTACTACTCCCCCATCCCTTTTACTAATTACCTGTTATGGTGATGGTATATCTCAAGGATTAGAAGGATGGTTTCAAGGAATTGTGTGCTGTGTAACTGTAGTGTCAGCAAGATACACTTACCACGTTTCATAGAAATAGTTGCTGAGCCTCGGGTATGCATTTAGGAATCTTTGGGGTTTTTTTTTTCATTTCTGCAACATAAAGTGAAAATTACTGTACAAAGAAATTGGGGAGAAAAGCTGCAATTATGGTATAAACTGTTGCAATAAGTGCCTATTTGAAGCTGACTGCTTAGGCTTCTTATATGGACTGTACTGGAGTGGTCCCAGAGACTTTTTCCTCCTTCAGGCTATTGTAGCTACAACTGAAGCAATGAGAATTGTATATACACATAAGCCATAACTAGACTCTTAACTTGAGGCTGGCTCTTGTGAGTTTAGAACCCTTTGTTTTTTAAAAACAAAGAGGAAAGATATAAAGTCAATGTTTAGAGTACAGCTTAATTTGATAAGCATCCACAAACTTACTTCACCTCACAAACCCTTACTCATATTTGAAAATTTCAGATGTATTCTTCTAATTCCTTCTAAAACTCTTCACTTGCTATGTTCATTCAACTAGGGAGAAAAAAAAAAAACAAACTTGCTTTTATATTAAATTTGGAGGGGATGCTTTTGTCGTGATATGAAAGGGAATGTGATGGTGGGTCATTAAATGCTATAAAAATAAAGTAGTTGGTTTTTGATAATGGAGACTTGTGTGTGAAGGTAGACAGAAACTGGCAATCAAATTGCATATGAACCCACAAGATGGCTTTGAAGCCAGAATTAACTGTACTTACATGTTTGAATTCATAATGGTCTTCCAAGTTTTCTGTAGAAATAATGGCTATTGTGTAATTATTTGCCATTTCTAAACAGATATAAATTACCTTTCAGGATGAAGAATATAGCATAGGGCCAGGCACCTGCATTGATCTTGAAGGCATTATTGATTCTCTGCAGAATGATGTCATTGATATCAAAAAGCAGGCAGAAGCAGCACACAGATACATTCTGTCCCTAGAGAACCCACAGGAAGCTATAGGCTGGCTTGAAAAACAACTGGGGAAAACTACTGCTGAACTAACTAAGACCAAAGAAGAACTGACGAAGAAAACCAATGAACTAATCAAAACTGAAGAAGAGCTGACACAGAAAACCAAAGGTGAGCTGGGTGTAAGTGTGATGTGAAAGGCAGAAAAAAAGAAATGACTGACTACTGTAAAATAGAAATGATAATCCAGTTGAGCAGGAGTTTGAAACAAAATCATATGTATAGAGGTAGCAACCGATTGTTTTGTGTATGTTCCTGTTGAACAATTCCACAGGCGTTGGTTATAATTAAATAAATTATATAAATAAATTATATTATAATAAAGTTATATATATAAAGTATATAAATT